AGTAAGAGTAAATGCCTGAGTTTTATTACTCTGAAGAGAATGAATGAAGTGAATCATTACAAATGAGGGGAGGAGCTCTCTATTTATAGTTGAGGCCCTCAAGATCCAACGGTCTAGATCAAAGTACATCGACGGCTTACATTGAATCCTACCTTAACAGAACTCTATCTCTAAGGTATTTGAATTCAAATAAAACATTATCCTTAATTAAATCCTTAATTATTGGATAATAATATTCTTTCTGGAATCTTCCAAGGAACGGGCCAGGTCTGATGGTTCTGGGCAAGCCCAACACTTTGTATTATTCTTCTACAGAAATCTGCGCACACATGTCTCGGTCCGAATCCACGAGCCTCGACAAAATTTCCCCCATCGAACATGTAACACCCTCGTCGCCTCTCTCGGACGCCTCAGACTTGATCCTTCACGAACTTGAGCCTTTACGGACCCGTAAGCATTCTCCAAGAACCAAGCCAACTCGCCATGCCCAACAAGCCCAAAGTCTGCGCAATTGAACCCCTTCTGTGAACCTTTACGCCAATGCCCATGGACCCAAAAGTTTAGTCCGTGACAATCTCCCCCACTTGATCTAGTGACGCCCTCGTCGCTAGGTGAGAACACTTGGTCTTGATCACCTTGGACGCTTTAATAAACACCTTGGCTTCCTCGCCTTGGTTAACACCGTCATGTTTTATCACCATCTAGCACACTGTGGCATTCATCTCGAACGTAGGAAATCCATCCTACCCGTTTGCATTCACCCAAACAAGGATATTTTTTTATCCAGCGGCAAAGAATTGGATACTCCGGCAACATACAACACGACAACTCAGATTCATCGGCAACACTCGCTTGTCCCTAAGAACTCTGAAAGTCTCAGATGTCCCTTTCAACCTTTGATAACTCCGTAAAATGATGGTTAGGTCCTCGACCTATGCTCATCAACGATGGTGAATCAAACTCAACACTTGGAATGTGTTTGAGATGTCCCTCGATTTCCCCCAGCACATTTACTCTACGTGTCAGCCCTTCTTACTCCATGAAGTCTGGCACTCCACACACCAACACTTCTATCCGGAAGTCTGGTGTTTCTACTCGCATCGGCACTTCCTCCTTTGAAGTCCGGGGCGACTTCCACCCTCTTACCTGGGTGGCAAGTTCTCGCCCATCATGTCTCTTGAAGGCTTAGACTCCATCAACCACTTCTCAGTTGTCTCTTCGATGGTAGTCCCTAAAACAACATTCCGCTCCATTGGAACTTCTTCAGAATTGACAGTCTTGATTGCCCCCTTCGATGGTTCGGCTTTTAAACCAAGATTGTCGGCATCCTTCTTTGACATGAATGGATCAGTTGCCCCCGTGTCTACTAAGGCAACTCCCGATGGTTCGGCAACGTTGATGTTCGCACACATCAACCCATTCTGCTTTCGGCCTCTACTTGCCTTGGCAGAACTCAAGTTCATTGAGCCAAGTCTCGCAACCTCGCTAACCTTATCTTTACCCATGTCCTTGGGTAACTCGATCCTGGGCTTCTCCATCCTCTCGGACCACTCGGCTTTATCCCGGCAAGCTTGCAACTCTTGTGGCCCCTTACTTCGGTGACCCTTCGTCTGCTCATTTCTTACCCTCGGTGTAAGGCACTTGTTCGCTTTACTTGTGCCAACATCATACATGTCTTTTCTTGACATGTGCTCACCACTTGAACGATCAATGCTCAAATGCTCACCATTTGAACAAACTTCACTCGAACAAGCTTCACTCGAAGAGCCTTGCTCCTCATCATTGTTGGACTGACCCTCATCTTGAATACTTTCGCCATTACCCTCGGCTTTCAACTTTGTCTTGGATGTCTTCTTGACTCCAAGTTCTATGATGGACTCGGTGGCTATCAAGGCTTTAGACAACTCTTTGATTCCCCTTCTCTCCATCATTGCCTTTGCCCATGGCTTCAATCCATCTGTGAATGTGAAGAATGCATCTTCTTCAGTCAACTCTGGGACTTGGAGCATGAGTTCCTCAAACTCTCTCACATACTCCTTCAACGTCCCATCATGTCTAAGATTCATCAACTTAGACCATGCCTCACTCTCGGAATGCACTGAGCTCGATTGCTCTTGAAAGGTCTCGGACTCTTTTGGTCATTTGCCAACTCCAGCTTCAACAGCAACGGCTACCTCCTCGGTATCCTTGGAAAGCTCCTTGGCAAAGTTGGGTTTGGGCAACCCGTTTTGCTTATGGTTCTGACTAACCTTGGCAGAAGTAAACACCATTGAACCAAGCTTGGCAGGCTCGCTACTCTCGACCTTGTCCTTTCCCTTGGACTGCTTGATTCGGTTTGGGCATTCCCGCACTATGTGTGGACCTTTGCACCGGAAACACTCCAGTTGCTCTTGTTTCTTTACCCTCGGCTTTCTTGCTTGGCCCTTGGCTTTCGCACCGAGCTTTACTTCATTGGTGCAATTTCGTACCTTATGTTTTCCTCCACACTGGAAACACTTCAACGGCTCTCGCTTCTTTACCCTCGGCTTCCCAGCTTCGCCACTTGCATTGGCACCGAGCTTTTCTGTATTTGGGCAACTCCTGGCCCTATGTGCTCCTTGACATAGGAAACACTTCAGTGGATCTCGCTTGTTTACCCTCAGTTTTCCTACACCACTATCATTCGTGCCGAGCCTTGCTCCTGGCTTGACTGCTTTGACTCCCGCAGTCGCACTATCGTTGGCTACTTCCCCTTCTGACTTGTCTTCTCCTTTGACAATGGCAGCAAGGCGATTCTTCTCGGGACATCCTCTTATCATGTGAGGACCATCACAGAAGTAGCATTTAAGAGGCTTGTTACTCACCTTCTTCTTTGATACGGACTTGGCCTTGCCATGATTCCCCGATGGCTTTATCCGACCACGATTAGTCGATGCCACTTCTTGACTACTCGAAGAGTTTTCTCTACCATCTATCCACTGTCCCTTGTCATGGTCTCCCCCATTTTCACCACTATCTTCGGGCATGGGTTTGGATGACTCATCTTCGATTGGCTTGGCTCCTGCAAGCTCGCACCTTGACTCGGCTACAGCTCCGGCTTCCGAATAACTCTGGGTATCACCTTGCTCACTGACAAGCATCACCCCTGGTCTAAGTCCTTCGATGAAGGTATTGCATGCACCACCATAACTCATTACTATTTTGCGCATGAGTATCTCACTCTTGAGCCCATCCATCTCTTCCCTCAAGGCCATCAACTCGACCCTGAGCGCATTACTCATCTCTATCAACGTCCACCTATGGAGACTCTGTTGCACCACATCCTTGAACCCATCCCTCATGGATTCTAACTGTTCAAGACGGGACTCCACAACTCCTTGGACCTCCTTGGCTTCTTCCGTGAAGCTCTCAAGGTTCTTGATTCTCACCTCCAATGATCCTGGGGTAACTCCCACACTTTGTTTCTCTAGCTCAATCCCAACACCACGGCTCTCCACGCCATCCTCTGTGAGAACAACTCTTTTTTGTTGTGCCATCTCGTTTCCTTTCCACAACCTGTCTGGAACACTCGTTGAATCCACAACGGCTTCCATCACCTCGCTAAAATACTTCTTGTCACAAGACAAGCTCGGATCACTGTTGAATCCATAACACCTACACTCCGACTTGCTTTGACTCGCTTCCCCCAACCACGTACAAAATGATCATTGTTTGCTAGCAACGACTCGCTCTGTCACTGCTTGCCACTAAGTCAGATGGGTAAACTACTTACACCGACAACTCGTTCTGACACCACTTGTGTCGGGGATACAGCTACAACAACGCTCTGATACCACCTGTCACGGGGCTAGACTTCTGCTAGACGATTCGTGCGGCACTTAGACGATTTCCAGGTCGAAATGGCGTCTAAGTCAGCCTTATCCACGTCCTTGTGAGTCTTTGGCTCACTAAGCGACGAACAAACCCTCAAGGGTTAAACAACAATGCAGAAATAACACTTAATCGGGGCTAATCCAAGCCACCTGGGTTGAAGCGGATCTCTGAAGCACATGCGCTGTGGGAACTTTCTAAGTCACCAAGACTTGAATCACTTTGGCACTTTGAAAGAACTCGGAAAAGAACACTCCCGAGGCTATCTCAGCCCTCCCGATCGGTAACACAAGCCACAAAGGCTTAAGCACAAAGGAGATCAAGTCGATAAGGCTAGAAAGCGGCAAGCTAGAAAGCTAGAAAGAAAGAACTCAGAGAGAGTAAGAGTAAATGCCTGAGTTTTATTACTCTGAAGAGAATGAATGAAGTGAATCATTACAAATGAGGGGAGGAGCTCTCTATTTATAGTTGAGGCCCTCAAGATCCAACGGTCTAGATCAAAGTACATCGACGGCTTACATTGAATCCTACCTTAACAGAACTCTATCTCTAAGGTATTTGAATTCAAATAAAACATTATCTATAATTAAATCCTTAATTATTGGATAATAATATTCTTTCTGGAATCTTCCAAGGAACGGGCCAGGTCTGATGGTTCTGAGCAAGCCCAACACTCTGTATTATTCTTCTACAGAAATCTGCGCACACATGTCTCGGTCCGAATCCACGAGCCTCGACAAAATTTCCCCCATCGAACATGTAACACCCTCGTCGTCTCTCTCGGATGCCTCGGACTTGATCCTTCACGAACTTGAGCCTTTACGGACCCGCAAGCATTCTCCAAGAACCAGGCCAACTCGCCATGCCCAACAAGCCCAAAGTCTGCGCAATTGAACCCCTTCTGTGAACCTTTACGCCAATGCCCATGGACCCAAAAGTTTAGTCCGTGACAATACCATTCAAATGAGCGACACTACACCGTCGACCTTATCTCTCCCTCTCTCCAAATTGAAATCTTTCGAAGTAGGGAATATTCATGAAGAACTGGACTACGACATGCTAAACGAATTCCTGTAAAAGATGACTTCTCTTGAGCATCTGGAGATTATTGAACTTCCACAGCTGGCGTCTCTTCCCCCTTTGCCTTCAAAATCTTGTTCAGTTGAAAAAACTAGAAATCAAGAATTGTAGTGGATTGAGGTCACTATTTCCTGGATTCCAACATCTCACTTCCCTTGAAATGCTTCGAATATTCAACTGCACGGAGCTTGAGCTATCTGCAGATGACATCCAAATATTCCAAGATTATACACGCCTATGGTCTCTACAACTTGGAAAGATTCCAAAGTGTCGGCACCTTCCGGAGTGGCTTCAACATCTAACATATCTGAAAGTGCTTCATCTAGTAGATTTGCCAAATTTAACATTGCTTCTGGACGAGATGCATGGCCTAACCAGTTTGGAATATTTAGATATAATAGAAGTGCCCCAGTTGGAGGAAAGATGTAGGAAGGACATTGGTGTCGATTGGCATAAGATTGCTCACATCCCACACATTTGGGTGAATGGACAGGCCCCGAAAGGTAATCATTATCACCCAATCATCTACTGAATACTACTGAAGGTATTTGGTTCTAAAATTTACAGGTGGTTTCTACACACATCGAACGAAATTCAAGAATTTTCCAAAATATTTTGACACTGGTAACCCCCTAAAAAAATGTTTCTCAAGTTGACCCAACGTTTTCCAGATTTATGATTTTGTTATTTTTTCTGACATTAGTGCTTTAAGTTATTTTGTTTTCCCTTTTTATTTTTATTTTACATTATCTAACACATTATATTGACACTGGTAACCCCCTAAAAACGTTTCTCAAGTTGACCCAACGTTTTCCAGATTTATGATTTTGTTATTTTTTCTGACATTAGTGCTTTAAGTTATTTTGTTTTCCCTTTTTTATTTTTATTTTACATTATCTAACACATTATCTTCATTGCGGTAGTAGGACAAAAGAGTTTGCATATTTTTTCCTTCTTTGCATTCTCATTCTCTTGGAGTCTAACCCTTGTTTGACCTCTTAGAGCTTTTAGGTTTTCTTATCACCTTTGCTAGTAGTCAAACTCTGATACGAATTGTGGAAGACTACTTGGTAAAGTAAGTTTTAAAAAGTACAAGATTGAATTACTTGCCTCTCGTTGTGTTACTTTCTTGGAGTGACTTGTGAGATTTATTGCTTTGTTGAATTTTCTTTCTTTTATTTTTATTTTACTTTAAATGTTTCGTTGAGTGTTGTGATTTCAAGATGGATGACAATAACAACGACACACTTACGGCTATCTTATCCGTACTTGAACGACTCACAACTCAATTTGAAACAAGATTTGATGAACTTAACAATATCGTAAGAGAACAACAAGAACCACAATTGGATCTACCAAACCAGAATCTAAGATCAAACAATGTTGAACTTTTGGTCCCCAGGCATGCACAACCACGGTTCCAAGCACCTAAACTCTTTGCAAAACCAAACTTCACGATCTCGTCTTTCAAATGAGACTACGATCTGAACAAGTATATTGATTGGTAAGGAAAAGTTGATCTCATGTTCGCATACCATGACTGTCCCCAAGCTGAACAAGTTCCCCTCATCACCATGGAATTCAAAGAATATGCTTACACTTGATGGATGCAAATAAATAAAAGATTGAGAACTTCCAAATTCAAGCAATCACTTCTTGGACCGACCTCAAACAAACCATGAGGAACCGATTCCTACTGCCACATTATGCACGAGAAGTTAAAATATGACTACACCGACTTCGACAAGGTAGAAGTTCAGTTGAAGACTACAACAAAGAGATGCAGTCCTTACCCTATAGGACTAACATAACCGAAGAATAAGAGGACATCGTGTCAAGATTCGTCGTCGGCTTGAACTCAAACATCATTGATCTTCTTGACCTCCATAGGTACGAAAACCTTGAAGATACACTAAAGAAGCCAATAACAATCGAAACACAAATCCAAAGGAGATTCCGATTCAGAGAACATTACCAAGGTACTTTATCCTCCTACCAAGGTAATCCTTCAAATTCTTCCTCATCTCCTACTCCATCTTCTCTAAAAAAGTTGAGAGATGACAAACCCGACAAGGAAAAATAACGACCAGCAAAGAATGACACACTTCCAGCCCCTAAAGATCAAATGAGAATTTGTGAGGAGGTAGGGAAAGAAAAGAAAAGAAAAGAAAAAGCTGGGAAAGAGGAAAAAGCAAAAGAGGTCACTAGTTATAAAACCCAAAAGAATAATGATCCATAGGAGGTAAGTGAATGATAACTGTCGTTTTGCAATCAAAATAATTTCGACTTCTTAATAAGTAAAAAAGTGAGAGTAGAATAGAGAAGCAGGGTCGATCCACATGGACTCTGGTGTTTATGATTTAGTGGATTTTTTGATTTAAAAAAAGATAAAATTTCAGATAAAGATAAAAAGTTAAGAATAAAATAATAAAATAAATAATTAAAAGATAAGGTTAAAGATAAAATAGGGGAGTTTTTAAATTGTTTAAAGAAATAAATTGAGATAAATATTAAATAAACAAATAAATAAATAAAATAAATTGAGATAAAGAAAACTTATGGTAAAAATAGCCTCAGGCTTCAGCTTTGCCTCAAATTCGTCGGATCATCGAAATAGATCTTTACTTTAAGATTCACGTCGGCTACTTGTCTACAAGGACAAATCCTTGTGACTATGCTTTGTATACCGAATATCCAAGTGCAATTTTTAATTTCGGTTTGTGAGTTGATCTAATCAACAACAATGTTGTAGATCTTAAAATGTTGAAGTTCGAAAAGCTGTCGACTCAGATTATGTTGTTTCAACAATAATTGATTCCAATCTCAGTTTACTCTTAGCAAACAATTTTGCTAAGTGTGTTCACAGGAAGTCGAATGTGCTTCAATAAGTCGATTCTCCCTCCCACATTAACCATAACAACATCCATACCAACATCGGCTTTTGGTTTTAAAAATCATTTTGATTTGAAAATAAGCCCAGAAAACAGAGAGAGATATCTGAAGCGATTTAAGTGCCTTACAATTCTCACGTTTGGAATTGAACAATCGCTTTACCCTTCGGCTTAAAAGAAAATTAGCTAAGCATGACCAAAGTCATACTTAACATATTTGAAAACAAAACTTTAAAATAAAAATAAAATAAAAATCAAAAACTTGAAAGGAAATAAAGAGAGAATTTTATAAAGCGATAGAGAGGAAGAAGAGTAAATTCTCAGTTGTTGAGAGATATATTTCTAGGCTTACCCTGAAAGGGTATTTCTAGCCTTTAAAATCCTAAAAACAAGGTAAAGATAAACCCTAAATTAAAGAAGAAAATCCTAATTAAAATACTTAAAACTATTTAAACTAAAATACCTAAAACAAAGATAAGATAAAATATAATATTTAAAATAATATCCTAAAAGATGAGTTTAATTCAAATCTGAATTGCAGAAACGTGCAGCTGATCCATTCGTTCTTCTAGAAGTTTTGATTGGAACTTCTAGAAGGTGTTGACGTTATCTCCATGCCAGATTCTTCATGGCCAAAGTCATGCCCACTAATCCAGCTTTGATTCCAAAAATAAAAAAAAACTGCAGAATTCTGTCATTTTAGTGCAATTTCCAGAATTTTGTGTCCTGCACAGAAAATGAATCAAAATTAACAAATAAGCTACAAAAACCAATGATTAAGGGGTAATTTAAAAGAAAAATATTAACCAAATAAAACACTTATCAAATTTTCCCTCACTTATTCAATGCTTGTCCTCAAGCATTCATCAATTAACACATCAAAATCACAAGTTGCCATCTTCAATTTCAATTTATTCCTTAAACTTCCAATTGAACTAAGTCCATGACAATTGCCGGATTCAAGTTACAATCAAGCAAAGACACAACTAATAAAATTTAAAGCAAGCAAGATATCCCAATTAATTCTCAACTTCAATGAAACATGACTCAATATTTGTTGAACTATGTTTTGATATAACAATTTAAGGTAAAATGTTTTTGGACTTGAATTGAATTTACAAAATGTTTTTAGACTTAAATTTAAGTTTTAAAATGTTTTAAAAATAATTCGAAGTCCATTAGAATTCGAATTTGAGCAAAAATGTTATGGGGTACCGATACCCCCTACAGGGGTATCCATACCCCCTAAAGGCTCAAATTCCAGATTGCTCGGATGGTATCTATACCCCCATGGTATCAATACCCCCAGGGTATCTATACCCCCTGGCTGCAACGGTTAGTTTAATTTGAATTTTATGAAGGGGTACCGATACCCTATGAAGGGGTATCGATACCCCCTATCGTGAGCAGCCTTTTTGAGCAGAAAAATCACCCCCAAATGGCTCCAAAACATCCCCAACGACTATATATACGACTTCAAACTCATTTCAAGATATAAATACAAGCTAAGGACACTTGAAGATTAAGGAGAACAACTATCCAAGCAATCAAACACAAGAGATGAGTTTTTCATTCTTATTTCATCTTTCTCTTGTAAATATTTTGTTCTTGTGAGCTCAATATTGTAAACACCTACCTTAGAGAGGTTTTCTTGTTTACATATTTTATCCTTTTGTAAAGGGGAAATGTTCTAGCTTAGCCCGTGTAAAAGCTAGGGAAAGGTTTTAGTTTAGCCCGGAAAAACTAGGGAGTTTGTAAGGTTACTCTTTATCCTCAAAAGAAAGAACAAATTAGTGAATTTTTTTGAAAAATCCTTAGTGTGGATAGCTAAGGTTACAATTGGCATCAGAGCTTAACTCGTTAAGAAGATTTAATCACCTTGAGACGATCCTAGAAGAAGCTCTACCAATTCCCGACACAACCGAGAAGATGGCTTCCACCTCCGGCTCGTTCCACATGGAAGACTCCCTACCAACCGAAAAACCTCCATACTTCAATGGAGTTAACTATAATCATTGAAAGAAATTAATGAAGGTATTCATCCAATCCAATGATCTTGATGCATGGGAGATAATTGAGAACGGCTACTCTTCTCCAAAGAAGAAGGAGAAAAAGAGGAGTGACAAAGAACGGAAGAAAGCTCAACTTAATGCCAATGCCATGCACATATTGTTTTGTGCATTTGGTCATGAAATCTATGAAGGGGTTTCTTCATGTTCAAGTGCCAAAGAGCTTTAGAATAAGCTTGAGGAAATCCATGGAAACAAGAAAGAAGAACCAACAAAGGTGATGTCTCTAATGGCTCGTGAAGAGCCCGAGGTATATTCTAACTCAAATGAATTTAATTCATATACGTTTGATGAGTTACAAGATACTTTTAATAGGTTATATTTGGAGTTTGAGACCATGAACTCCAAATATAAGAAAATGATTTCAAAATTTAAAATCGAAAACGATTTTCTTTTGAAAACAAAAATATATTTTGAAAGCCAAAATGAAATTTTGAAAAAAGATTTAGAGCTTTCAAAAATAAAAATTGAAAGTTTTGAAAAAGAAAATTCTGATTTAAAAGTTAAGCTTGAATGCTTAACAAAAGAAAAAAAATCATTTTAAATAATTCATTTAGTTCAATAATGACAAT